CCCACTCACGCGCCCACTCACGCGCCCACTCACGCGCCCACTCACGCGCCCACTCACGCGCCCACTCACGCGCCCACTCACGCGCCCACTCACGCCACCCCCAGGTGTCCACCATCAGGCACGCGCGTTTGCGCATGCTCACAAGCGCCTCCTGCATTCAAATGAGTCCACAGGTGAGGCAGAGAAGCCATGGACTTCAGGTAAAAGGACAAGCACAGCTTGTGTACTCATGTCCAGTGTGTAACTCTCAACACTTTTTTTCTTTCGGTCATATCTCAATAAATTAAAAAATAGTTTACTTGTCCCTTTTTCCATCTCACTTGTAATCCCCATGGGCTTCCCATCACCAAATCACGGGTGTGCCATCACCATAATCCAGTGCACTTCCCTCCCCCCTCAACTACCCCGCCCATTTTTGATCCCATTCCCCACTCCACCCCTGTAAAATGTCTCTGGTATACAGCTGTTCATTACTATTGTAATTATTTTCTCGCCTGGTCCGTATATACTCCCGCTCGGAGTGAAACCATCTGGTATCTTTCCTTTTCTTTCTGGCTTATTTCACTAAGCATGATCCCTTCCAGCTCCATCCATGTTTGCTGCAAAAGGCATGCTCAGCACTTCTTTTTAAACAAAACAATGTCCTTGGAGGTATGTGTGCCCCAAGAATAGCTCCCTGCCTCCATCACTGGACTTCTGGCTCCCACCCAGCTTCTCTCTAAAGGCAATTTTCATTGTTTGAAATAGACTTTCCTTCCAAAGCAGAGCAATTGCCAGAAGTTTGCTAAAAAGTTGATTAAAAACTGACTCAATTTGGTATAGGAAGATAAATTGGACTGATAAGCTGCCATGATTCTGTCTCCCTGTACACTCTCTTGGGTTCACTACAGCCACCATACACAAGCTGTTCCCCTCTTCCTTCAAAATTTATATGCTAATTTTCTTATTAACTTACCTGATGCATTATTGTAACTAAATCTTGCTAAACAGTATAAATAAAGACCTGCAAAAAGATGGGCAGGAAGACTTGCACCCAACTCCGATTCCCGTGTCTTCCTCGCTCCCCTTCCCCCTTTTTCTCCTTTTCCCCCTTTTTTAGGAATCTCTGCTTGCCAACACCACTCCCACCTTGAGACCCTGCCTGTTCTGCCCCCCAATAATCCGTGATTGGGGAACAAAGGGTCCCCGACAACAAGCCTCACCCTGGTCCCCAAGACACCTAATGGTTCCTCCAAAACCAACTCCCAAAGGGGTCAGAAAACACACAAATAATAGTTTTAAAGGAATAAAATAAAAAGTAACTGACTTTGAAAGGCACAGAATCTGCAGGAAGGACTCTGCTGAAGGGCAAACTGCCCAAATACTGTGATCTGCCCTAACTAATACAATGCCGTACACCTCGCCAGAAGCCAGTATGTGCAACAAACAGTTTGCAGATTGTTTTCGATTTTGCTAGGAGAGCATCTGAAGTCGGTGTGAACATTCCTTGAACCCCCTTCTGTCCCAAGCGAGGTTCATCACAGGTTCATGACAGGGACAGCAATGGTCACTGAGTGGCAGGACGGAATTTTAGAAGCAACTCAGGTAGACGGTACCCTGCTCCTGCCAATAGATAAGAAGGACTCTCCATCTTTCTCCCACAATTCTCTGGCTGCATCCAGCCTTTAAAACTGCCTTAGCCAGCTCAGGAAGGAGGAAAGCAGAACCCAACAAAAGAGCTGCAAAGCATGTGGGCCCACTCCAAGACCCTGGACACTGTTTCTGCCTGCCCCTTGCCCGTCTCTCCCCAGCCCACTCCGTCTCCACCACAGCTTGGGGCCTCAGTCCACCAGCAGGCCTGCCCTGACCCACACTGTACTTCCTATCTCTTGGCTTGCCTTTTCTCTTTTGTTCTATGCTCCCAGTTATCTTATTTTGCTTCCAGATCCAAGAGGTCAATTATCCCAGCTGAACCTCAGAGCTTGTCCTCCCTGGCTGCAAGAGCTGGCAGGACACCATGCCTGGGAAGACAGTCCGCAGCGGGTGTGGCGACAGGCAGCAGCAACAGTGTGCAGGGTTCTGCTTCAGACACAGAAGTCTGCCTGCCTGCATTTCACCAATTTGTAAAAGAACAATCATGACCAGAAACAGGAGACCATTTACTGATGTCTGTAGCCAAGCCAAGATTCTCTACTTCAAAGAGCGAACTTTGAGCAACTGCAGATACACAGATGCTCAATTAGTGTATCAGCTCTGATTCCAGGAAGTGCCCGTGTTTGCCAGAAACAGACACAAGAAGAGGGGAGGCTCCTAGGTGAAACAAGCCCTGTCCCTGAGAGGAGGGTTGGATGGAGTCTGGGAGAAAGACCAGCTTCACAGCTACTCCATCCACACAGCCTCCCCCAGCTGCCCTGAGATAGGACGGCTGAATCACATGCAGCGTTGCCATGCCAACACTTAGGGTGTCAAGTATTTGCGTGTACATACATGTGCATAGTAGTGTCACCAATCCACATTCAGATGAGCTGGCTCTCCAGGAAAAAGTAAGTCCTATCTTGCAACATTTGTTGATTCCATGGTGTAAATACTTTGGCCATCGCTAACATCAAGCTGGTAACAAGGTCCCTGAATGTGCAATGGGAAAGTATCTTTTCCTTCAGAGAGGGCCTTAGAGAGGCAAACTCACTCAAGCCTTTATCATCTGTGAATGTCCATCATTTGCTTTTGTTTGATGGTTTAGCTACTGAATTCTGGTTGAGAGACATATCCCCTCAGACTTGGAATTTGAGAGAAAGGAGGTAATACTTCTGGTTTTGAAGTGGGAACTTGAGGAAGGTTTCATGAAGGTAAATATGATGAGAATCAGAAGAAAGAGAAAGTCTAGGCCTATGAAACAGCCGATCCAAAGCCATG